GAAATATCTGTTTTATTTAAAATTGATCGCTTGATTAAAGATAAATTATTTTGGCCGAAAAGGGATACGGACGGGTTTTTGAAGATACGACAACCTAACGTCGAAGTTTTGACTTAAAATGGTATAAGCTTCGAAAAAGATTGAATGTTTGAGGAAAAATTACCCTAAGCTTTTAATGAATGAGAGTATTCGCTCGATCGTTTTTGAGGACATGAAGTCAACAAAAATTAGACAATTCCCTTTGGATTGGCGCAAACAGAATAATCAAGTAAATGCGAGATATTTAAACAGAAGATTATGAGATAAATGATATACAACAAATTAAATAAGAGACTGAGTGTGAACATGCATTTTTGGATTTTTTTTGTTTAATATATGAAGAGAAAAAATGTTTTAATTGGTTACGCATTTTAACATAGATAAAAAGTAACGAGAATTAATAGAAATGTTTTTTAGGTTTTGTATGTTTCTATTTTTTATGTCTTTTTTTAATATAAATAAAAAGTATTACTTAAGAATTCTTTAAATTAGATTAAAACTTAATGCTACTAACTTAAGTCTAATTTAAAAAGATATTAAAATTACTAAATTAAATCCTAAGAGTTTAAATTAATAAAATTAGTCAATGATTAAAAAAAATGTTTTAAGTTACATCTCTTATTTTGATTTACTAAATTAAAACTTAAACTAATAAGATTTGGATAAAATATTAAAAATTGTTTAATTAAAACTATATGTTATTTCTAAGAAACTAATTAGTCTAAAATAAGTTAAGAAATGAATAGAATTTTAACTAAAGACCAAATAAAAGATGGGGTGTGGATTAGAAAAGAGAATGGGCTTAAGTTAAAAAGAAATTGAGCTGGGTTGAGGGAAGTGGAGCGGGTCATTGGAGGACCCAGACCCAAGAGAAAGAAACACAAATGCTGTAGCGAAAAAAAACCCTAGGAACTAAAGGTGTGCCGCCGCCGGTGGCCGCGTCCTGGAGGTTGGTCGATGCCGGCTTGCTTCCAATTCTTATGCAACGTCAGTGATTCTTCGGTCATTAAAGAAACGCGGTACAGCAAAGGTTTAAGAGAAGATAGCGTTTCGATTTGAAGAGAAGGTGATTTTTGTTGACCTCTTATGAGCTTTTTACGAATTCTGTGTATTGTGATGATTTTCCAGATTTTGAAACATTGTTGTGACTGTTGAAACAGGTTGATGAAGATGGTGATTAAGCGAGGGATGTGCGGAGGGTGTTGCGATGGTGATGATGCTGGATGACAGTAGAAGGGTGGTTGGAGATTTGAAAACAAGGCAAGTGAGTATTTAGGTTTCTGAAATCCCTAATTCCCTAATTTGATTTTGATTTCGCCGTTAGAACTGATCGTTGTTGTTTTAGATTTCCTTTTTCCTTTGTTTTTATTCCCACTCAAATTCAACTGTCTCACTTTGCCCACATTATTTCTGTCGTTAATTCTGTTCTTGGATGAAGATACATTCTTCAATTTGAAACCTTAAGTAACATTTTCACTCAAGATGATGGTTGATAGAGGAAAGCAGTTGTTTGGGTTAAAGATGGAGGGTAGCTAGCGGAATGATGATAGTGGTTAAGGGTGTACGAAGATGGAATTGAATGTAAGGGTATGCGATTGGTGCAGAAGCGAGGGATGTGCGGAGTAGGGTGACCAGAAAAGGCGATGCGCTCACAATGGCCGCGAGAGGTAAGATGCGGTTAATTGTTGTTATGTTTTTGTTTTTTAGTAAAAGAAAAATCTGTCACTGATTTGCAAAAGCTAATAACGTTCCTTTTTCAAACAGCGAAAGGAGGCGCATCTTCATCAAATGCTGCCGTTGATAACAACATGATGGTTTATCATTTGATCCCGCAATCCACCTAGTTTCTTCTCGGTCTGGAATGTTGTTGAGAGCACATACTTGCCATGATTGACATCAAATCTAGTCTTATATTAGATTTCAGCTTCAGGTGATATTAACTTTCTCTAACCGCACCGTCGTAAGGAATGTGTTTAGTTAATAAAATGCATTTCAAAGGTTAGTATGCATTGGTATAAAACATATGTAAGAATGTTTCCTTTTAGTTAACTTGCATTTTTTTAATATATTTCATGTAATTTCATTTAGTTAGTGTCATGATTCAGATGTATAGAGATGTTTTAGGATTTTGACAGGAGGTTCAGATGTTAACCACCAGCCTATGCAGTTATTCTTCTTTTTGACATTTTCTCTTGGAGTGATGATCTATGATGTGTTATAAATACTAATGTTATTAATGGCTGCTTTGTGGTTTGTGTTTTTACTTGTAATTTGAACTTAAGAAATATCATGTGTGGTTTGTGTTAAAAAAGGTTTGTGAATTTCCTATATTACCTCAAATTGGCTTTAAATTAATAGTATGTTATATGATTGCGTTGGTCTTGCGACATTATTGAATTTTGAAATCTATCAATCGAGTTATTGTCGGTGTTAAATAGGGATTAATGTATTGCTGCAGGCTCATTGATGATTCGCAATGATATTAAATGGCCATTTTACATGATTTCAGGAAATTAAGAGGGGATTATTATTCAGTGAGACAAAGGCAACACAACGGTATAAAGATTTATGCGAAAAACTGAAGAAACTCACATGGTCGGAGCTAGTCCGACGGTACAATTCCGGCGAAGTCAGGTAAGCTCCGAAGATTCCTCGCTCTTTGCTTTCTGCTACTAATTCTTCTCTTCTTCTTCGTCTAAAAACTGGTTGGAATATTGGATAATTGGTTTTTTTGGTGGTTTTGGATTATACTGCTTTGTCTATGGTTTTGATACAGTATGCAGGTTTTATGGTTTTATGCTATGCAAAATGATTTGGCAGTAGGTTATGTGATTTAACCATATGCTATGGTTTTTGAAAGGTTTAGATGTAGGTTATGTGATTTTTGCCTTGGAGCAGAAAAGATGATTTGCTTTTTGGTTATCTTTGAATAGTTTTTGCAGTGATGTGGTTTTGCAAATGGACTATGGTATTTTGCTTGGTAGCCTTGTGTAGTATGCAGGTTATGGTTCTGTAGAGATATGCTATGCAGTGATGTTCTGGTGTAGTGATACTATGCAAGTTAAGACTTCCCTTTTGAAGGGATTTTCTTCTCATATAGCCGTTGCCTCTTTGATGGCTCAGGTTTGAGTATATTAATATTTTTCTGATGTTCTGCACATATGCTGCTACATATGGTTGACTTTATTCCTACTTCATGCTTAAATCAAAACCTGCAAAACTGAACCTCTTCTCTCTTCTCTCTTAAGTACATAAATGATACATAAAAATGATATCTTGTACTGCTGTCTGAAAAAGCAAACAGGCTGGAATATGATGAAAAAGGAAACATGTATTGCTTGCATACATTGTTTTAAGACTGCACATTGTTTGAAATTACATATCTCTTTTGTCTTGCATTAGCCTATGTTATCTCCTATGTGGCTGCAGGTTAACGTTGGCTTGTTGTTATGTACCTACACATGCTGTTGATTTATGCTTATGCAGTTTTGACCAAAAAATGAATTTATACATATGTGAAATATGCAGTGGGCTTTTTGATAAAAATGCAATTGATTTTGAAATGTGTTATTTTTTAATTGTGCATTCATAAAAATTCCTCCCTTTTTGTGAACCGGGAGAAATCCCGCGATTTGCAAAAAGGGCAAACTGATTCCGGCCGTTTGCTTTTAATGATGAACATTAAATTTATTTTCTGCATTTTAATTATTTATTCAATTCTGACTTTTCTTTTAATTGTTTTCGCAGGTAAAATTAAATGAGCAAACAAGAGCATTGGATGGAAGATTTAGAATTAGAATTTAGAAAAATAGCTTTTTATTTACTTTAAGCATTTATGTAATTGTCTTTATAAATATTTTGTAATAACACAACATTTAAATGACAATTGTAATAAATAGAATAAAGTGAATAAAAATTCTATTATTTCTCAATTAATTCTTTTTCTTTCCAATTATTTATTTATTGTTTATAATTCTTTAAATTATATAATGACTGAAAATCAAATCCAATCATTTAAATTCAGAATGATAAACAAATAAATAAATATCATTGATCAATTAATAACTTCAATCATTTACTTTATTATTATTTTTAATTCTTCTAAATTATAATAACTTGAAAAATAGAATTTCAGCTATTTAAATTTAGAACAATAAATAATCAAATAAACATTGCTTGATCAATTAATAGACTCCTTTTCAAATGTTTATTTCATTCACTACAAGAAAATTGGCAGATTGCGACAGGTATTTTTGTAGATTACGACGGTTAAAACCGTCACAATTTGCTTTCCACGACGGTTGCTTTACCGTCGCAGAAGTGTGTGTCCCCAACCTATTTCGCGACGGTTACAAAAACTGTCGTTCAAGTTTACGACGGGTTGATACCGTCGTGACTATCTTTTGAGTTTCTTTTAATTATTGATGGCGACGGTTCGATACTGTCGTGAATATCTTTTGAAATTGATTAAATTGTTTATGGCGACGGTTCGATACCGTCGTGACTTTTGTTGATTACGACGGTTCGGTACTGTCGCCATGACTTTTGTTTATGTCTTGATTTTTTTTATTTTTCTATTATATATATTTTTTATTTAAATTATTATCTATGTAAAAAATTTTAAATATAGTTTTTTTTTGTGTTATTTTTTTCTTTAAATTATTTCTTCTTTAATATATTTATTTATAGTATTATTTTTTGTTTTATTTTCTATCACTTTGTAATATAGTAAAAATAATTTCAATAAATTTACTTTGAATATTTGGATTCTAGTATTGAATTGTCAAGATCACAAATGTTCATCCAATGTCATCACAAACTATATCAAAGTTTATTACAAAAATGCAATACCAGGAGGATTACAAGTAAGAAGTCACAATGACCAATTTTCCCTTACAAAATTCAAAACATAAGAAATTACACACAAAAAAAGGAGTACATTGAAACTAAATTACTAAGCTTCAAGTCTTAATTTCTTTCCATATCGGCAACTTCAACAAAACTGATGCCAAACATAACCAGAACGGTGATACCTTAACCAAAAGCTTGTCAAAATCGCCAATCCTGCACACATAACAGAAATTGAGTTAATGCCTCCATAATAAACCGGTCCATGACAGAATTCAGACTTGAGAAGGGAAAATTCGAGAAATGCAAGCATATGGAGATGCAGCCATGTACCCAACAATTGACTCTGCATAATATATCGCGCAACATGACCAAAAAATCAGAAACCAGAAGCAAATAACAACTGAAAATATTAGCTCACCTCACAACACAAAAAGGAGAATATCTCTAACTGATTTTATCAACCCCTAACCGAATTCTAGCTCAGACCCTAACAATTTTTTTTACCCCTTTAGACTTATAACTAATTCCAATTGTCCATAACAAAATTTTAACAACCTCTTACTGAATTCACATTGCCAAACTATATAACAGAAGATTCACAAAGTTACAAGGGAGGATTATTCAGAGATACACAAATATTATTCAGGATCGATCATTCAAAGAAAAATATCAGAAACCATTATTCACAAATTCAGAGAATCATAAAAAAAACTCACAAAAAAGAAAGCCACTGAAATTCTTTCTTCACCTCTTTGCACTCTTCACCATCAATCTTATATCAGCAAAAATGCTCCATACTTCAATCTCCATCACCTTCATCATTCATCTCTGCCTCACCATAACTGCAATCTTCTGCGGTATTCTGCGATCATCATCCATCGTTCTGCAAATCATCATCGACAACATTCCTTCTTTCATCTTCAACAATTAATCCCTCCACATCGCAGCAAGATCTTCATCTGCTGAAGGCACCTCACAATCGTCTTTCTGTAACGCGATCAACAACATCACAAATCAATAACCTTTCTGCAACATTTCCTCACCAACGACTTCGAATAGCATCACAACAACGCATAGTAAAAACGAAAAAAGAAAGAGAAAGTAAGAAGTTACATCTTCTCCTTCTTTCACCTCAAACATGTAGAGGAGTCCAAGATCCTGCCAGAAGAAGTGAAAGTAAGAAGTTACTGTTGGATTGCTCATCTCTTCGCATAGAAAAGTGCAGAATCATCTGAGATTCATGGTCATTTCAAGATTTCTTCCCAACTAAAATCACACCTTTTACTCCCATGTAAACAAAACGATAGTCAGAGCAACATATTTCCTTATTTTGCTGGTCTCTGTCGGAATAAGTATTCATTCTAAAGTTATCGAGATACAAGTTGAGCCAATCATCACAAAAGAACATCGGAGTGATGTATGGTACGTAATCAGGATACTCCTGCAATAGTTAGAAAAAGAAATTACTTAGTAAATCATCATCTGTAGTATAACATAACATATGATAACTCTAATGCAACAAGAGGATTATCTAGGTTGACAGGGGCAGACTTCAAAGTAAATTATGAAAAGGCACTACAAATGTACAACAATGAATGATAAAGTGATTGAGATTGTCCAGTATAATATTTTAAAATCCAAAGCATAGACAAGCAAAATTGCACCATAAACATTCTTCATTTAAAACACCAAAGTCTTGAGGAAATTCCTTCAAAGGAGTAACTATGGACACAACTAATAATACTTCATAAAATAGATGGTGTTTAATACAAAATCATAGTCCTTGCATTGCATTTAAATAAGTTGTTACTTGCCTGACACAAACTATTTAAAGAAGGTCTCCTGTGAGTAGCTCCATCCATGGGTTGGAAGATGTATGCAGTGTCGACCACTCTATCATAATATAGCTTCAGCACTGCAAATGACTGCAATTAGTAAAATGATGCAGCGGAACTCCAGCCCTTCATATACACAGAAACTAGAAGTGGGTCATTCAAGGACAAAGATAAATAAAATGTACACAACACTTACCGCGTAGATCATTATACAAACTGTGTCCCACTAATATGGCTCCACTGGATAACCACTTCTTCATCAATTTCTACGAAAGTACAACAGATTTCTTCATTAAGCATTTGAAAAGACGATACAGGAAAACCACAAAATGAACCACAAAATTACTTGTATATCAGCTAAGGAGCGAGTCACGGTCTCTAGATCTTTAGAAGAGACACCAGTAATCTCTGTTCTGTAATCTTTGATTGCTTTCTCCGGTTTAACAAGTTCGTGTAATTTGACCTGAAAAGTTCTAAAATTATCAATCTTACATAAAACTCAATCTTAGAGCAAGTAGGGAAGAAGGGGATTGACGAGAGTGACCAAGTAAAAGGAGGAACTGGCACAAATTATCACCTCTAAATTGTGATCTACAATACAAACTTCGACTAATGCTTCAGTCCCATCTTCGCAAAGAACCATTTCACAATTATGGTGCAAACGAGTTAAAGGAATCTCAATCTTACAAAGTTTGAGTGTAACTACAAATTACAATCACCAATAATCACCAACAAATTATATCCAACAACCAATGTTAAATATTGATTTTAAGGAAATTAACTTAGAAGTAACAATTTATCAACCTGAACTTTGGAGGAACCAAAATGAGTGGAGAAAAATTGGAGATTAGGTTTTCCATTAGGGTTAACCCAATCAGTGCAAGCCTTCCAATGATTGTCCATTAATCCAGTTAGCATCACTGGTTTGTTCTTCTCCCTTTTACCTTACGGAAAAGTGTCATTCAAAAGCAATGACAGCATCAGACACGGTGCCACACCATGTTCCTCAGATGCCAATTGAATGAAGCCTCTGTTTGATTCTGCTTCTAACGCGGTTGCATAATTTGAAGTATCAAGCCTGATCAGTTCCAAACACTCAACAGAAGCCAGAAAAACCTCTGAAGAACACCTTTCCGCAACACAATTGAATCTCTTAATAGATGAACTAACTAACAACACATAAACAATGATGCAAACTTCAATCACACCTTTTTTTTTCAATTTCACCACACCAACACAGTTCATTTTCAATATATAACAATCATATAATCATTATAAGTTTAAACAAAAGAAACTAACCAAAACCACTCCAAGTAAACCCTATCTTCATTCTAGAAAGAATACTGATCCTTCCATAATCATTTTTTCAGCACAAACATTAGAATTGGATATTAAAGCAATTAGGTCAAAAACAATAAATCAAGAAAACAAAAGAATGGCGAGCTACTCACTTCCGAAGGTGTCGTTGGCCATACAAAGGTACGCGAGGCCATCGGATCGGAGTATGTGGAAGATATATCTATCTTGAGAGAAGCAAAGTCTGGAATCCGATTCGGTAGGAAGCTTCTCGAGTAACCGACGAGCGACGGCGCCTGTGTTGCCGGTGACGGCACTGAACTCCGCCAGAACCACCGTGCCTCTGGCAACCAAGGCATACACGACATATGAAATCCCAAATCTTATTTTTTCTGTTATTCTCTTATCATAAGTATAAATGAGGAGATAATGTTGATTGGGAATAGAAAGGTTGGAGATGGATCTTGCTTCTAGTGGACCGAGATGTTCTACCTTTTCCTAAGGCCCTTCACTTTTTTTGGTATTTTTTTGGTATTTTTAACTTTTTTACTGCGACGGGTGTTTTACCGTCGTGCCCATGAGAATTTTTAAAGGTTTTGGGTGCGACGGTTGTTTTACCGTCGTGAAATGAATTTTAGGACGGATAATTTTACCGTCGTGAAAGGTTTAAGGGTGCGACGGGTGCTTTACCGTCGTGATATGCCTTTTAGGACGGTTAATTTTACCGTCGTGACTAGTTGTTGGTGAAAAATCAATGTTAAAAGTGTTAAATGGGGGCCGACGGTTGTTTTACCGTCGTAATAATAATATTATGATGGTTAAATATACCGTCGCAAAATAAATATTAGGGACGGTTGGTGTCAACCGTCGTAAAAACTGTCTCTATATGTCAATTACGACAGTTATCACATAACTGTCGCAATTTTTGTGTCGTTAAACACTAATTTTCTTGTAGTGATTATTCATAAACCTTTAAATTATATAATAACGGAAAACAAGTTCCCATTATTTAAATTTAGGATAATGAATAAGTAATAAACATTATTTGATCAATTAATAAACCTCTTCTCAAATATTTGTTTTATTATTTATAAATCTCTAAATTACATAATAATCGAAAATGAATTCCAATTATTTGAATTTAAGATAATAAATAATTAATGGACATTGTTTAAGTCTTGATCAGTTAATAAATTTAGCGTTCAACAAATAAACAGCTTCCGACTCGAAAAAGTTATGAATTTTTAAACTGCTTTGAAAATTTGATAAACATAGGTCAAAACTCTTGCAATGCGAATGATGCAGATGGAAGACGGTATCTTAGGTCAAAATTTGGGGTACAACACATGTTATGGTGAGTTGTGGTTGATTTTAATTTAAGATAGATCTTGCCATGCAATCCTAGTTAGCATACATCTAAACAGTTAATATATGTACAGGAATTTAAAATGCGGAAATTGTAAATCCTACGCTATTACAAAGCTTCGGGGAGGGGGATTATTTACATGTCCAAAATTGGGGAATAAAGCAGTTACAATAAAAAGCGCGTGAATCTTAAAATAAACTCTAAACATTCTAAGAATAAAATCTTTTTGTTGTTTTATTTTATTTTTTGGAAAATGCTCTAAATCTATTTAATTTTAGTTTTTGAGAAAATGTGAAGATAATTAAAAAGTTAATTAACAAAGTTAATTTAATAGAAAAAACTAGCCTAATGTTTTTTGTGTTTTCTTATTTTAATTAAAAAGATAAAAAAAAAATGTCAATGAAAACAAAAATAAAATACAAGGGGAATCCTTCGATCCAAGGAAAAAAAGGAGTTTCGATTGGGCCAGACAGTAAGGCGTGAGTAGCCTTCGATCCAGGGAAGAGGATTGTCTTTTGACCATGGAGGTCATGGCTTTCGATCCAGGAATGAGATGCCTCCTTCGATCCAGAGAAGGTGTCTCCTTCGATCTGGGATGTTATATCTGCAAAAGTATGTTAGCGAAATAAAAGGCAGGGCCTGGGTATTGAACCCCAGGCCCTTCGATCCTGCACTTGTTGGGTCTCTTCAGGCTAAATCTGCAGCAAATGTTAGCAAACGAAGAACATGACCTGGGTGCCAAACCCAGGCCTCTTGATCATGTCTAGGATAGAAAATCAAAGGTAACAACCAGTATGAATGTATTATGCAAATATGAGGTTGGATAGTTTACCCTTTCTTACCAACAGATTGGACCTTTGATTTGGGCACTTGCTGGATGTAGGCATCTTCGACCTGGGCACTTCCTGGATGTAGGCACTTTCAATCTGGGATTTCTGGGCGTGGACTGGCTGGTGCAAGGATTGGGTATGGCTTCCTGGAAGCGCTGATGATTTTTGGCAGCGTAACTCCAAGGTTTTTTGTTCTCCTGTTGTGTGTTTTTTCGTCCTCTCCTTTCCTGCCGAGTTTTTGTGTGTCTTTTGCAACATTTGTGATCCCTTTATATAGAGGGGGTGGAGGGGACAGGAAGACAAAGGTTTAAATGACCTTGATTATGTGTTTGACAACCATGAATGAGCATTTGTAACGTTGGCTGAACACATGGGATCTTGTCCCTTTTTGAATTTTGAATGACATATAATTGGCCTTTGAATGCTCCCTTTCGAATGGGTTGATGGCTTCCTTCGAATGGACCCTTTCGAATGGGCTGATGGCCTCTTCGAATGCTCCCTTTCGAATGAACTGATGGCTTCCTTCGAATGCTTTTTGAAAGCTTCTTCGAATGGACCCTTTGAATGCTTCTTCGAATGGACCTTTTGGAAATCCAATCGAAGGACAATGTTATAATGCCAATCGAAAGGCTCCTTCAGAACACCAATCGAAGGGTCTTTCAGAATGCCAATCGAAATGCTTGTCCAGAATGCCAATCGAAAGGCTTCTTCAGAGCACCAATCGAAGGGTCTTTCAAAATGCCAATCGAAGTGCTTGTCCAGAATGCCAATCGAAAGGCTTCTTCAGGGCACCAATCGAAGGGTCTTTCAAAATGCCAATCGAAGTGCTTGTCTAGAATGCCAATCGAAAGGCTTGTCCAGAATTCCAATCGAAAGGCTCCTTCAGAGCACCAATCGAAATGTATTTAAAGCACCACTCAAAAAATTTCCTTTTCCTTAAGCAAGAGTTTGTGATCAATCATGCAAAGGGGAAGACTTTGGGAAACATGAGAGGGAAAATTTTGGGGTGCAACAGTTGCCCCTGTTCAATCTTCTTAAACCTGAGGATGTAGATTGGCTTGCGTGCCTTTCGTGATCCAAAGGTGGAAGATGATTGAACACTAGAGTGCCCAGAAATTTTCACTCGCATGGTGTAGTATCAGCATTGTGATGTCAGGAATGGGCTTACAGATTCCATTTGGAGATTGTTGGTAGGAGGATGGGCTTATAGATGCCATCTGCAGGAGTGTCGATCATATAAGAGATTCCTTAGCGAGAACTTGCAAACCTGTTGTTGTAGAAGATTTCCACTGGGGAAGTCTAGCTTCGTTGAGATTTAGGAACCTGCCCGTACTTCAACTGAGAGAATGCTTCAGCTGAGTTTTAGGAATCTATCCATAATTCAATTGGGGGGAAACATCTTCATCAAGATCTAGGAACTGTCTCGTGCTCAATGGAGTAAACCGCTGAGGTTATAGAACTTGTCCATACTATGACGGAGGAAAACATCAAGATCTAGGAACTGACTCGTGCTCAATGGAGTATACCGTTGAGGTTATAGTACTCGTCCACACTATGACGTAGGGAAACATATTCATCAAGATCTAGGAACTATCTCGTGCTCAATGGAGTATACCGCTGAGGATATAGAACTTGTCCTGTCTGGTTCTAAGTATTAATTGCTGACCTGAGAAAGAAAGTCTTTCTGGCTTGTTACAGGTATTAATCTTCAATCTCTTCATGTAGATAACTTTCCTGGCTGGTTACAGGTATTAATCTACAACCAGTCGTCCACAGATATTTTCCTGGCTTGCTACAGGTATTGATCTGGAACTTGAAAAGGTTGGTCGAGGAGATAGTTGTCCTGGCTGGTTTCAGGTATTGATCTCTGACCTGAGAAAGAAAGGTCTTCCTGGCTTGTTACAGGTGTTGATCTTCAATCTCTTCATGTAGATAACTTTCCTGGCTTGTTACAGGTATTAATCTACAATCAGTCGTCCACAGATATTTTCCTGGCTTGCTACAGGTATTAAACTGGGACTTGAAAAGGTTGGTCGAGGAGATAGCTGTCCTGGCTGGTTTCAGGTATTGATCTCTGACTTGAGAAAGAAAGGTCTTCCTGGCTTGTTACAGGTATTAATCTTCAATCTCTTCATGTAGATAATTTTCCTGGCTTGTTACAGGTATCAGTCTACAATCAGTCGTCCACAGATATTTTCCTGGCTTGCTACAGGTTTTGATCTGGAACTTGAAAAGGTTGGTCGAGGAGATAGTTGTCATGGCTGGTTTCAGGTATTGATCTCTGACCTGAGAAAGAAAGGTCTTCCTGGCTTGTTACAAGTGTTGATCTTCAATCTCTTCATGTAGATAACTTTCCTGGCTTGTTACAGGTATTAATCTACAATCAGTCGTCCACAGATATTTTCCTGGCTTGCTACAGGTATTAA